TGAGTTAGACTTGCTGTAGCAGTCCGTGTGAGCTTCTCTAAGACACATAGCCATAAGGAGGGAACTTGGTACATGAGCCACAGCTTTTCCTAGGTACCATCCTCAACTTATTTGGACTACTAGATGCCAACTAAGGACAGTCCTCCTCACTGTGCCACCATGAACTCGCAGGTTCATTTTTTCTGGGGCAGCTCCATGCATGGTAACAGCTTCCAATAAGGCTCAGACATTTTCTCTAACCCTCTTGGTTGGCACCCCTTTAGAGGTGGCTCCAACCTTTAAACACAAATTGTACAGCCTGCACCTCCCAGTAGGGCTTCAAAACCAGCGCTGCCCGAGCCACAATAGCCTTTCTTAGGACACACCTGGCTCTGGTAAGATCACCAGCAGGATGTATTCAGCAAGTCATGCTGTCTTCTCACAATCTGTAAACTATCCTTACGAAGTATTGAGATACTGTGGTCAGAAATATGAGCAAGTATCTCAACAGATCAGTCAGTCTTCAGATATTCCCAGCAGCCTGGAACATATTTATTCCCTCAACTTTAACAATCAGTGGCAGACAATAACGGACTATTAGCCCTACTTTCAACTGACTGCCTTGATACTATACCCCCTGAAGAAAGTTGATTTGCCATCTCCCTAAGTTACCGCCAGTTTTGTGAGCAATTAGAATGAATTTTCAAGAATCAAAAGATTAAGGACTTAGTCCAACAAATATATTATCAGGTTTCAATATCATGAGCCGTTTGAACTAAACTGAAGACTCATGAAACTGTATGTTCTTCCAGCACACTAGATTTATGAAAGGGAAGAATGGAGAGTTCAGTTTACAAGCTAAGCGTTCATTTCTCAGGAAAAGGGAGAAAAAAGTCACATTGAGAAGTTTTTTCTCATTTCCAAGAGAATTCCAGTAGAGAACAAGCAAAAATATACTCTCAGGGCATAACATAATATAATAAAATTAATTGCAATGCATGCACTGAATTTTGCTACAATATCCTATGAGTAATCATTATTATGACTTAAGGAAACCTTCCTGCAAAGACAAGAAAAATAACAATGGCCTGGGCTCTGTTACTCTTCTCTCCCTTTCTTGAAAAAAATTGCTGCCATGCATATGAAATTAGTGAAATAGTGTGAATTAGATCACAGACTCAGGTCACCTCTGATTTTAACCTACAATCTCAGTGCCGCTTAAATCCAAGAAGCCCTGAGCAAAAAGTAGTTATCTCAGAAATGCAAAGCTGCAAGCACACATTCTCACAGAAACCTGAACTCACCTGCATGAAATGCCTCCCCTGCTTTGACCGCTAACACCTTCTGTTTCTTTAGTATCTGATTCACCTTTATCAAGACACTTGAAAGACATCAGTCAGTTGATCTAAGCCAACAGACAATGGATCCAAATCACACATTGCTGATTAACAATGTGTGCATACAAATAAACTTTATTTGTGCATACACATAAAGTATGTACATCAATTGCATAACTATTATTTTAATTTACATCTCCCTTCATAAGAAGCTTTGGACAGCAGGAGCGCATCTACATGCGTCCTCAATTTCTGACTATCGTCATGCAATAGTACTTGTAGTAATTATGAGCCCTAACTTACAACTGATGACTTGACTTATTCATTACCACCATTTCCTTCTTTATACCACACCAAACGATTTGGAAACAATTCCTACAGATAGCAGGAAAATCGTACCATTACTAGTAAAAATAACAGGGTCTACAGCAACATATCTGACCAAACAGATCTCAGACTTCAACTAATTTACCTTCACAGAATATTTATAAAATAAATTATTAGTATCCTCAGCGACAGAAAGGAAACTGAGACAACAAGCAATTTATCTAACATAAGAAATCAGTGGTAGGGAAGGGAAGGGAAGTCAGCTGCAGGTCAAGATTTGGCCAATAAGAGCTTCTCAGGAATAGAGGGTAAGTAAAAACCTGCTTTTAATAAAAATTAGTAAAACTTACCATAAAACAGCTTTAAAAACAGCCTAGAGTCACCTGAGTACGTGCTACTGAGGTGTGGCACTTGTTAGAGTATGAAACTTACTGATCTTTGACTGTCTTTGCTACTGTGAAACGATGACCGAAATCAGAGCTTGAATATTCAGCTACAACGCTTTTCCTGTTCATGATACACACCAAACGCAGAGGGAGATGTAGGTGCGTGGACAGCACGCTCTACCTGCACTAGGTATAATCATATAATCATCATGTTTGGTCACTGCAGTATCACCTACCTGATAGAACCACAAATGCTATCGGACCGTTGAACCAAAGCAAATAATCCAAGCCACAGAAAACAGTTCGATGAAAGACGCTTTTACAGATCTGTTCATGTAAAAAATGACCTTGTGAGATTTCTGAAGAAGCAAACACATTAAAGATCCAACGCCTGCAACAAAGCCAGCCTGCACTGCATGTTCCCTTAACGTTTAAGTATTGTCTGCACAGCAGACAGTAGATGGATAACAAATTATAATCATTGTTATTAGAGAAAATCCTGAAATCTATTAAAGTCTCTGTATACACTGAGTTCATAACAGAAATCTAAACTGAGTAGAGGCTCAGGTCCAGGCTGATTTGTTTGTAATTCCCTTACGTGTACTATGCTTCCAATACTGGACAAAGCACGAAGTAACTAGCACAGAACACTTTTACAGGCCATCTGCTTCACCACGGTGCAGACCATACTATCCCTGGCCACTAATGAGAACAAAGCAAAAAACATCCTGTCTTAGTTAAGCCACAGAGCTCAGAAAACGTTTGAGTAAAGTGCAGTAAAACTAATCTCCAGTCCAACAGTGAAACTAAGAGTCCTTTTGGCACAACGCGTGACTTTGTAAAGATTAAAACCATATCCATACGTCCCTGATAAATCCCATTAAAAATGCTAGTAACAAAATTCCTTAACAGATCAAAAATTATCTAACTTTTGTAAAGCTCTGATCATTGTTTATTTTGTTCACATGCCGTTGAACCTCCTTTCCTTTCACAATGGCCTCTAGGTAAGTCCTAACAAAAACAGCTGTGAAAGTTACTGCTTGACCACCAAATCTTGACACTCCTTGATCGACAGTATACCAGCATCAAATGCTCCACAGTCACTGAAAAGAACCTGAAAATTTATCAGCTTTTAGATCTATGAAAGCTTACTGCCATCAAATGTATTTTGTGAGCGGCAGCAAAAAGAAATACAAGTTTTAGGCTATGATTCATTAAATAGGACTGCAAAGTAGTAAAGATGAGCTCAACTGTGTTTAGAGTTACCAGGAGCTTAAATCTGTAGAACACAAGGCTTGCACTCTACATTGGCTATTAAACAACATTAAAAGTAAAATAAATAAAAAGGAGATGTAATGCTAAAGCTAGCTCCTAATTACTAGCCCAGTGTGTCTACCATTCACTGAAACCGACCGAATAAAAGACAGAGGCTCCAAACAAAAAAAATATTTTATTAAGAATGTAAAAAAAAAAAAATCCCATTTCCTCCTCCTGGGATTTATCTTACAACACTCCTCCCCCATCCACGCTTCTCCCAACCTCAGAATAATTTCAGGAGCAAAATTAGGGTTGATAAAGCAGTTTGGTGGTTGGTGAAGTCTGCCTGGCATTGAGAGACTAACCTACTTCATTTTTGGACATTTTGCTACCTAGATTGCATTGTTTACTGAATAAAAGAAAGTGGAAATCTGTGAATAACTATCACCTGGATTGCACCAAAGATACCTTCAACCTCAGAAGCACCTTATTTTTTTTGTAAAATGCATCACAAAAAATATTCTGTAAGAACCCTCATGGAAAATAAACAATGCAGAAGTACTCACGTGATTACTTTAATATCATTTGAGGTTAAAAAAAAAGAGTTTCAAAGTTACATGCAAAAGCATAAGATGACTTGTTTTGCAAGTCAACTACTTAGGAATGGATGGCTTCCAGCCAAATTGTCAAATCATAAATTGCAAAGATATACTATGTAAAAGTGCTTCTCTGTTGTTGAGATTTGCCTCAGTTTACCTACTCTCATGATTAATCAGTGTATCAGTATGTAAACTCCCAGCAGAAGTAACACTGCCATTCCATATTTATTCAATGAACTAAACAAATATTTTAACCTAACAGCCAGTACTATTTATATCTACCTCAATTAAATAGCCATATAGCATATAGCTACTGAGATCTGTAATACAAATTGTCTCGAAATGATGATAGAAAACATACTACACAGGACTTTTCCCTAAGCAGTTGTAAAATGCTTCGGACTGGTCAAGAAAGAAAATCCAAGTGGCACACCTCAGTGATTCTCGTTAAGAGAAGTCTACAGTTTTGATCCAAAAAGTGCAAAATCTGAGGAACTTCTGCCCCATCTAGCTTCTTTTGATTCTACCAATATTTTCATTTAGATTAGGTCAGTCCATATATGTGACAATGATAACTATCAAACAAGACAGATAAATTCCAATTTTATATGGGGAGAAACAGCCACTTAATGAGTAAATCTGAAAGCCTGCTCGCCAGCGTTGCAGGAGTTGTAATTTATAACCAAAATACACTCTCTTTTTAACACTTTCAGGGTAGGTTTATAGAAGATATATAAAGCTGAGAGAGTAACAGAGCAGCTGTATAAATTGCATGCCTTGATGCAAGTAAAAGGTAGGACCAAGTCCGAGCCCATAACTACCTACTGAGGTATGAGAGAACAGCTCACACTTTCAACTCACCCCAAGACTGCAATTTGCCAGTGCCGTTGTTTTTAACACATCATGGTATAGACCTACCAGAACAAATAACCTTATGCGTAGCAATGAAAGTCAGACCACAAATAGCTACCGCGTTTCTCAAAATTAATTACATCAGTGAAAATTCCGCTCACATATAGTTCTGAGAAAACAAGTGGCTCACAATCTCTGTTAAAGAACTATCTCCTTATGACATGGGGCTGTTTGCCAACTATGTTGCTTACGTTTCCTCTTACCTCCAGGGTCATGTACACCGTGCTAATTGCTACTTTGATTTCTCCATCTGAAAGCTCCTTGAGATCCTTCAGCATAACCTCCTCAATACTTATGCCTGTTTGAGAAAAAAAAAATTTCAGTACACTCAAGTACCTACAGCCAACCAGACACAATAACATGAGCACAGCTTGAAATCTTAATGTAGAGACTTCTGCTTGGACATCCTATGAGAAAAGTAAAACCAGCATTAATATATCCATGTACGATGTTTCCAGCGGTATTTTTCTAAGCAAGGAAGTGTTTTAAAGACAAAGAGCAAAGGATGAAGAATTAAGTCTCTTGCAATGAAGCTGTGTGAACACTCGCATTTCTGAAGGGCACTAAATTCTAGTTGTTGATAAATGCATATAGTCCATCCCTATGTCACTTTTACGAAATACTTCCAGAAGGAGTAAGACACTGAAAAGCACAAGTGTTATATTATCATATTTATCAAATAGTCAGGGGCAAAGCACTTAACATATCTTTAAAACATAAAGTCATTCAGTCTTTCTGATATCCCTGATACCAACACCAGTGGGTTCTTTCTATGTAAAGCAAACAGTGAATTAACCAACTAAATGCATGTGTACCATGGAAATGGAAGTACGTATTGTCATGAGCAGACTGTAAGATTGGAATTGCTTCATCTTGTAATCACATGTGTTATGCTTAAATGCAATATATCGAAAACGCACATGGTTAAATTCCTCTAATGGGCGATATCTGTCCAAAATACTGTAAGGACTCTTAAAATAAATACCTATGACATTTTGAAACATGGTCATAGGACAACATTAAAACTATAGACAAAACCGCCAAATATCCATACAAACAAAGCTCTGTGCCACCTACTTCAGCGTAGACAGGCACCTAAAATGTCTACAGAATCATAAAGCTTACCTGCACAACATCCAAGAACGTGTTCGCATGAGTGATTTTTTTAAGAAGCAGACAAATACACACTTAAACCAAACAAACGAATTCGCTCTTTACTGTTCCTGTATAGAGTCCAGCTACTGCATTCAATTTAATGACAGAGGAACTGGCTGCCGCTCAAATATTCAATATATTTATGAGTCTGGCCTTTTAAAAACACTTGTATGCAGCCAGTAGACCTTTGTGTGGGGTACAGCCCACTGAGCCTCAAATAACCAATGAATTCATGAATTTAAGCCAGTAAATCACTATTTCTGTGTGAAACCTCAAACTTTTTATGCTGAGTTGTCCTAGTATTGCCTGGAATACCAATTAAATATAGCAAAATATTCATCAGGTTCAAAAAAACTTCAGAAATTCATCACCATCTTACTAATGCAAATACCACGCAGATGTAAGCAGTGCTAAATATGTATCTCGTAATGCATAACAAAGAGCAGCAGTAAAACAAAAAAAGGTGTCTACCAAGTTGCCCTGGTCATGTGGGTATGTAAAAATGGTTTGGCAATCAATGCCATGCAGACTGAATCTGTCTGTTATGTACCCTTTTCCAAGTTTTTTTATTGGATATTAGGGTAACTCACATGGGCAGCATGTGGCATTAAGCAACTTCAGACTTATGGCCCTCAACAAATTTAGCTTGCAAACTCACTGAAGAAGAGCGCCACGGAAGCTCAAATCTCATTCCCAGCCACCAACCAGCACAGCCACCTCAGGCTGAAGGTCTGCATTCAGATGAGACCATTCTCAGGATGGGTGGACAGAGAAGGATAAAAATAGATTACAAGCCTGCACGGACTCTGTGCATATCTGTTTCATCTAATAGAGAAACAGCTCACTAATTCACTCTTTGGTAACGACTTGGTAGCGGATGTCATTTAATAAAGTGTGAAAAACTTTGTTTGAACAACTTTCTTCATGCCTTCAGAGCACCCCTTCACAAACCTGTTATCAAATTTCGGGCTCAAACACTTCCAATTTTGATTGCTGAATAAACAACAAATGTCTTCAGTCATTTCTAGCAGAAGGAAATGAAAGAGAAGTACGATTTTCCCACTGCTTCCTTAACCTTAGTTTGAAGTCAAATTCACTTTATCTATACAGAGCCTTAATAGCTGAAGCCTCAATAAATTTGGGAAGGTTTAGAAGATAATAGCCACTCCCATACCATGTAGGTAATTGCAACACAATCCCTACACATGGGCGGACACAGTGGTTATGCCTTGTATTGGGTCCCACTTCAACACCACAAATATTTGAAATGTACTTGTAAAAACAAGCATGTGAAATAAATTAATGTTTACTTTATCTGTAAAAGCAATATAAGACTATTTTAGAAGTTCAGAAACATGATTCCATGGTTCACCTTGTCAGTCCATTAATTCAAAATGAACTACCATTACATGTAACTGTCAATGAAGAAAGCTCTCATGTTGCAACTACTCTCACCACAAATAACAAGCCAAACTATTCAGGTGCAGGCGCATAATTAAATTTATAAAATATCTGAAAAATGGAAGTAAACTGCATTACCTTGAGGGTTAAACTGAGTCTCCTGGAGAACAGAGATAATTTCCTCCCGTGGCGGTAGATCTGGGAACTTCTCCTCCAGAATTGACAGCACTTTCTCCTGCTGCTCTGTAATTCTCTCAGGCTCCAAAGACATGCACCTGAAGAGAATGCTTCCTGAAACATTAAAAGACAAAAATCGATACCTCCTGTAAACAGCAAAGAGGTACCAGAGAATCAAAAACGTTTACTTCATCACCATCCAAGTCCTTTCCTTCTTGAAGCCTATTTCCACTGATGAGTTCACTGAATTAGATATTAAATGCTGTTCACACAGAAAACCCTCCAAGCGTGAAGATAGTTTCTAAAACCTGAACTGGGTGGCCTGTCAGGGCCTATATTACAGCTAACTGGCTGCTCCCGGTACAGTCACAGCGTGCAGCACGTTTGTGCAGACCTTACACAGTTCTGCAGCATGCCCACTAGCTAGCAGGAGGTCTCAAGGGGCTTGAGCAAGGCTGTTGCTCTAAGCATTAGGCCGAGAATTGGCAAGTTACATTAACTCTAAAATGAAGGCAGCCTGAAAGCTTGGAAATGGTAAATCCATACTGCTAACCTTCCTTTTACAGACATAGCAATGAACTGCTAATATGCACAAAAAAAATATATCAAAATAGTTACCATCACCCGAATCCAAAGAAACAAAACTGTTTTCACTTCAATTATACTTTTCAGAAAACGAGCTTTGTTACTTCATGTGCTTGACTTCATAAATGCACCCAGTGAGGATTTCTAATGGTAATTATTCCCAATATTTTTTAAAATCTCCTTGAATACAGCAAATAAAACTCACGAAGGACATTACGAATAACCTTAGAAATAGGAAGTCACATGAGTCATTGGCCATTCCAGTGCAACAGACTCTAGCCGATTCTGTGCCAACGAATACAGAAAAAAAGCACAGCACATTGGGCCAAACAAAATGATGCAGTAAATTTTAAAAGTCAAAAGAAACATAGTCCATTAAATAATTGCACCATAATTAGTATGCTCTTACAAGACAGAAGTGAGCTTGACGTACTTTCAGACACTAACTTACTCCATTTATTCCATCTTGGATGTTAAAGGTTCCTGATTGAGGATTTACAGTCACCCTTTAACTCCTAGGAGGCTGGGATCCCATTTACTAAAACATGCAAAGATAACCTTCACTACCAGTTGCTCACACTAAATTAAGGATAATAAATTTACACTTCAGCATTGAAATTATTTATCATTGTATAGCGCACAAGGATTTCATACAACAATACGACCCTACTGCACCATCCTACATCCATAAGGAAACCAGTACAATGATAGTATTAGTTATTACAAGCCAAAGACAGTTGTTACAGCCAAGAGAGAAAAAGAAAAACTTGCATAGTCACCCTCACTCTCACTAGACTGAGTAGAATAAGAAGTGCCCTCCCTCGTCCTAACGTGACAGGCCGATCCTTTGGCCACTGAGGCATAAAGATAGGTTCATACGGAATAGCGCCCCAGCGATCAGCAGTCTGGAACAGAAGATCGAAGCATAGACTTCCTTATTAGACAAATACTGTGTGTACTAAACAATCTCACCTAGGAAACATAATTCAAATACACTACAACTGTTCAACATAGATTACTATTACTACAAGGGATAAATTTGGCATGATGTGTTAACGTGGAGACAGGATAATAAAATATACAAACCATAAACATTACTGTAGCATCCGATATTTACCGAAATCACCATTTTCCTGATAATTAGGCAAGAACTAGAACATTAAAAACAAAAATTAAATGGATTGATACCTATTAAAATCAAAAAAAATCCTTCGAGAGTCATTTTTTAAACACAGAAAAGTCAAAAACTATACCTACGAAATACTTGTTTGTAAATTAATCTTATTAAGATTACCACTTAACAAGCCAAAAGCTGCTCCCCATCAGATGTTAAATTCTGGAAATTCAGACATAAGAATTCCATTCTGGATTTCTGTTACAGATATGATAACTTCCAATATTCTGCCTTTTCTTCGATTTATGTCAGTCTTATCTTCATTTTCAGACAATGTTTCTGCCCTATGTGATAGTACTAAAAATATTAAAGAAATACAGATTGAATGAAGATCATCTATACGAGCCCAAATGTTCAGATTTTTTTTTTTTTTATTTTGAATGTCATAAACTTATGTATGCAAAACAAGGCTCCACAACCAGCAGATATCAGATGTCTCCCATTAAATAACTGCTATATCTATTCACATTTGCAAGTCAGGCCTATTTTCTAAGTCTCTTTCATATAAAGCAAGTTTCTCAACCAGCAGCCCTCAAGGTTAATTCGTCTAACAGCATCCCTTAGTTGCTCCCACCTCTAACCAGAACCTGTGCTACACGTTCTTGCCCCTACACTGGGAAGGTCAGTGACCAGAACGACTCATCTGGCCCACAGCTCGCTCCCACCTCAGAGCTCCACCTGGAAAAATGGCAGCTTAGGGAACAGGTTACGTGAATTACTTTAATAACAGCAATCTTTGCTTTTTCAGTAGCCTTCTTCCCCCACCACCCAGGAGCAAACGGAGGTTTACCCATGCAGACACAAAGGAAATAAGACTCTTGCAGGAAGTACTGGACCTACAATGCATGCTCAAAGTATCACACAGTTATCTGCTGCAGAGAGGGTGCAGCATATCCCATACAGCCTCTCAGCAGCACTAGAATGAGACAGGCAGTCTATCCATCTGCACAGGTCTTCAAACACAGAACGTGTCAAATCTCTACCAAAACTGGGAAGGGCAGTGGGGGCAGAGGGTGTTGAGGCAGACCAAGCAGAGAAACCTCGAATAGAAACACACTGGAAAATGCAGTAAAATGAGAGGCATGAGCTGTACATCCAGTCAAGCTCACCACTTCCAAATCAACATGGCACCAGTTTGGCTTTGGGTATACCTAATTACTAGAAAATAAATTACTACTATAGAGTGGGTTCAGCTTCAGGCCAGCAGCTTCTGATTCACTTTAATTCCATACACTACATATCAGTTCAACCTCATTACAGGACTGATTACAAATTGAACAACTACACCACCCAATCAATTCTGGATTTCAACTATGCTGTAAGATGAATGCAGAACTATATCCTTCCTAAAATATGATAAAAGCTCAGCTATACAAGAATAGCCAAATGAAAATAGTTTCTGAGCCTCAGAATTTGAGTAAAACATTCTTTCCTTTGTCTCTCCCTGAATCAAATCCCAAATTACTACAACAACATAAAAGAGATTATTGGTCTTTTCTTCTATTTCAGTATTTCAAACAGGTGAAGACTGTATCCAGAAGAGACAACTTCTACTGCGTAGTTCAGGGCTGGGCCATCAAATTAAATCAACCTGTCCCAGGCCCAGTGTGACCCAGGCTTTCTAGGGCCAAGCAAAAGTGTATAGGAAGACAAGTCAGAAAAGAGGAGAGAAGGAAGAAGAGAGAGAGTTTTGTGTTTCTCCAGGTGTGGGAAATCAGGAGAACTGGCAGCAGAAAGCAGTGACTATACCAAGACAGGGTCTAACAGCCAGGTCAGGATCTGGCTGTGAGTTTGACAGTTGGCTCAATCACACCAGTCACGCAGCACTGAGAAATCCTCTTGAGTACTCCTTTTCTAAAATGGCACCTGGACTTCTTCCACACCACAACAGTTCCACTATACTGTTCCAGCAGCATTGTTTCTGCTAGTAAAACTAGCTTAAATCTCCTAAGAGCATGGACTGAGGAGAGGGGACTTGTACAATATTTATCTATTTCCCCAGTCAAAAGACTGGGCAGATTGCTTAGGACATACCACAGCAGCCCACCATGCATCTCTATTGGTAACAGTTTGGATCTGTCTCTTGTTGTCATACGTACAACAAATTCTGGGGTTCTTCAATGGGAAGGCCAGTCCTCGATTTGATCTTTCCTTTGGTGGGACACGCACATTACTGCATAGTTATAAAATCAAGAAAGAAGTCATACAATTGTAACATGCAGTACGCTCCAGCATCTAACACAAAGCCTTGGTCTTTCCTTGCTCAGTTCCTCTCAGGGATGACCTCTTTGCATATTTTGATCAGGCATGACATTCTCCAGTGGGACAGCAAACTTAGTGATTCAGGAATTTATCACTTAATACTAGAACGAAATGTAGTCTTTTCTGAAATAGTGCCTCAACATATGCAGACATCTTTGAAAGCTTTTTTTAAAGCTAAGTTTTCCACTTGTCACAGCAACACTGCAGTCCTTGCAATTGCCAGCTTTTTTACTAAGGTGAAAGGAAGAGAAGGAGCCTTCTCAAATTAACAGGGTGTCAGCAATCCCTAAACTCAACATTTATTCCTCCTTCATTCTTTAACACTATGCAGCAGGAAACAAAGGTCTTTTCTGCATATCACTGAGATGCTGGACTCCTCAGCTTCCCTCTGAGGATTAAGATTCCAGCTAGTTCAGAAAAACAGTTTACTCAAGGTACTTTTCGTTGACCAAAGGTCTGTAGTCCACTTAGTCATGTGCTCTGTTGTAAGTATTCACTGTAAAAGAGATACATGGGCTCAGAAATCTCCTGCAGACTTTACTGAGTGCTGGTGCAACTCCCCCAGGGCTTCTGAAAGCACTGCAGAAGCTGTTCCATCTGCTGACGAGCAGAGAGAGACAAAAAAAGAAATTTATAATAGCTAATACAAGATTCAATATTATTTCTTGTGTATATCACAGCGCATTACCAATATCTTCTCCTAGGGAGAGGTCACTAGAAAGTAGGCTAGGCCTCTTAAAAAACAATGTACGTTTTATTCTTTTTGCAAAGCAGTTTGGAAGTGTAGCACTAGTTTTGCCAAAAGCAATTGCTGTGCATTAATATTAAACATGATCTAATGAAGGCAGAAGTCGTTTTGGGAAAACATTAAGAACAGCACAAGCATCTCCTGAATGATAAGTCCGTGGCTGAAAGGAAAAGTACAATGAAAATACAGGTGTCTCTCCTGTCAAGGTTTTGATCTATGACCTGGAAATAAAATAAAAGGATAGGGAGAAGGGAGAGCCATCAGCGCCTCATGGAAAGATACCTCCCTCCCAAAAGAAAACAAAACAAAACACCCACCCAGCAAGCAGCCTTCATGGTAATTAACAGCAAAGCCACAAAGCTGGAATAAAATGTAAT